AGAAGACGTAATGGAAAACTAATCTCTGCTATCAAATAATGAAAGGAGAAATTTATTTTTGTGTCTACATTTAGAAACTAATTTGCCTCTTTTGTATAGCAGGTTGTCTCCTTTGTAAAATAATATTTCGATTTTCTCGTTTAAACAAAGCTTACAAATTTTTGACGCAGGATTGTATAATTTACAGCGTTTAATAATATTTCATTTGATTGAAAATGTAAAATTGTTTTCTTTTAATTCCCATACTTCCTTAGATAACTCAGTGTCATTCTGGTACTTTTTAATGTTAAAGGATTTTAAATGATTTGCATGCTGATTCTAACCATCCACCTAACATAATAATCTTCCAAAAAATATCAAGCTAAGATTGTCCTCTAACTCATCAAGTGAAGTTATTTTCAATAAATCGACACATATATATAAAGAGGCATTATAGCAATTGGGATACACTTATAAGTTGGCATTTAAACCAAGCATAAAAAATGTTCCAAAAAACAACCACAAACAAAATAGTTAAGTATTTTTAATACTAAATCATATAACAATAATATATACATACATACATATATATATATATATATATATATATATATATATATATATATATATATATATATATATATATATATTGTTGTTGTTATACATATATATACAATATATATATATATATATATATATATATATATATATATATATATATATATTGTTGTTGTTATACATATATATACAATATATATATATATATATATATATATATATATATATATATATATATATATATATATATATATATATATATATATATATATATATATATATATATATATATATATATATATATATATATATATATATATATATATTATTTTAAAACATCAAAAATACGATTTCTCTCAACACTTATAATTTTTTTATTATTATAGAAATTTTCTTATTTTATTTTCATTGGAACAATGAAATTCATATAATGGAAAACTCGGGTCCAATTGGACTTTCGTTCATGGTCGTTCTTGCAGAATCATTTCTACAACTCCATGAAAACAATGCAATTAAAATTGCACTAAATTTCAACCCTGCACTTAACCTCAAATCGTTCTTAAGATTTGTCGATGATAGTCACGCAAGGTTTCCAGATCTCAACCAAGCAAAACATTTCCAATACATTTTAAATCAACAACATCCTTCCATCCAGTATACAATTGAAGTTGAAAACGAGTTAGGAACACTAAATTATCTGGATATACAAACTATGAATAAAAAAACAGGAAAGTATGAATACAGAGTATATCGGAAAGATGCTATCACTAACATTCAAATTAAGCCACACTCAAATCATGATCCAAATATCTTGAACTCTATTTTTTAAGGATTTCTCCACCGAGCTTACTCAATCTGTAGTAAGTCTTACTTGCAAAATGAAATAAATTTTCTAATCGACGTGTTTATTGAAAATGGTTACGATAAAACTCAAATGATGAATATTGCGCATCAGTTTCAACACAAAAGACAAAATAAAATTACAATTCCATCTGAAATCAATAATTATCCTGTAGTTTCCTTACCATGGGTACCCGGTCTCTTGCCAAAACTTAGGAAAATATTCCGAAAAACTGGTTACAGAGCGGTATTCAAATCAAACCCAAACTTAAGATCCCTGTTAACATCAAAAAAAAAAATCAAAATTACCTAATAACAGTCAACCGGGAACATATATAATCAAATGCAACTGTTCAAAAGTGTATGTAGGCGAAACTAAAATGAAAGTAAACACACGAATGCATCAACACCAAAAAAACATTGATGAAAATAAGCAGCATCAATCCGCATTAGCTCTGCATAAAACATTTTGCAAAAAAGAAATTATTTGGGAACAAACAAAAACATTGAAAGTAGAAAATAAAAAATTTGAAAGAAAAGTTAGGGAAGCCCTAGAAATACAAAAAAACATGTGTTCTGCAAAAAATGTCGGGATTAATCTCGATGAGGGTCAATACGTAAAAACTAAATTTTGGACGCCATTTTTCAAATTTCAGCGAAAAAGAAACCATTCAACCGCTGACGTCAATAGCAACGTTTTAATTTAAATTATAACGATTTTATTAATTACTGTAACATTTAACAAGCTGAAGAAGCTGGTATCTAAAATCCAGCGAAAATTTCTATAATAATAAAAAAAATTATAAGTGTTGAGAGAAATCGTATTTTTGATGTTTTAAAATAATATATAAATATACTCTCACACAAAAAATCATATATATATATATATATATATATATATATATATATATATATATATATATATATATATATATATATATATATATATATATATTAGGGATATGACTTTTTTAACTTTTTAGACAATTTGGACAACCCCATATTATTTTTGGATGAGTTTTTGCTATAAAACAATGAAGAAATGTTTATTTTCCTTCAAGTGTAAAAAAATGTCACGCCCCTCGGCTGAAATGTTTTTTAATACAATATAGATAGGAATATAATATACTATACATATTACATATGGCCCAGAAAACATAAGTTAAAGAAGTCATAACCCTCTATATATATTTTATTATATTATATTATTATATTATATATAATAAAATATATATAGACGGTTAATATATATTATATATATAATTTTAAATACATACCAGACGTATGCATTACCACTTTATAATTTCTAGTTTTTCACTGCCGTGCCTAATTGTTTATTAATTAGTTTCAGATTTTTTTGTGCTGCTTTTAATTAAAATGGCATACAAATACTGCCAAACAAGTGTTGAAAAAAATAAAGAGACTTATAAAAAAATTCTTATGAAATTTCAAGATTCGCATAAAAGTAGACAGTTTCCAATGTTAGAAACATCTTTTCAAGAATATTCCAAAATGCCATTAAAAAGTGATATTGGTAGCAGGTTTAAGTATTTGTCTAGTACTGATGTGAAAGCCAAAAAGCAAAGGATAGATCTTATTTCAGAAGAAGTTATAAGTTTGTGGAAAAAACAATTAAATTTCCCATGTCTGACAGAGCAGTCAGTGAAGCGAAAGATTAATGATGTTATAGAAAAATATGAAAGTCTCAGAAAAAAAGCGAATGCAGAGCTTCTGCAAAAAGAGATTTTTGATATAACAAATCAAAATGGCATTTGGTTATCATCTGAAGATAAAAGATTTTATGAAATTCAGTTACAAAGCAAAGAAGAAATTGGATATGCTACTTCAAAGCTGACAGGAAAGAAGACTATTCATCCATCAATTGTGCAAAAACTTTCCAGCCAACCTTCAGCATCTAAAAGTTTTTCTTCATTTACTGAAAGTAGTAAAATAGAAAGAGACAACTCTAGTTCCGAATTTGAAGAAACTGATGAACAATTTGAGATAGATAATGAAATTACAGATGAAGAATATAATAATTTGAAGAAAAGACGTAAAAAATATAGTAGTTGTAAAATAGCAACAAAGTTAGTGGTTTGTGCTAAGGTATCAACTAAGAAAGCTTCTAAAATAGGTAAAATACTGTCCTCAGAAGGCATACATGTTCCAGCACCATCACAGTCTGGAATATACAAGGCTCTTTTTAATGAAGCAAAACAATTTAAAGAAACTTTAATTCAAGATTTAAAGAATGAGAATTGGAGTCTACACTTCGATGGAAAGCATATAGACCAATGGGAGTATCAGGTTGTCGTTCTTAAAAAAGAAAGAAGCCAAATAAAGTTGGGCGCACTGAAGTTAATAGATGGAAAATCTATCACTATTATTAATGCCATAGCTGACATTATAGATGAATTTAAACTATGGAATTCAATTAAAATGATTGTGACAGATACTACAAATGTCAATACCGGAAAGAAAAATGGTGTTGTTGTAAAACTTCAGGACATTTTTCAAAAAAAAGGATTACAAAAACCTCAATTTGTACCATATCAACATCATATCTTGGATAGAATACTTAGACTAGAAATGGAAGAAAAATTGGGAGAAAATCCGAACTCACCAAACATTAATTACTTTTTTACTAACAAGTTGTTAGAACATTATCAAACACTGAAGACAAACTTTTATAATGGTACAGAAGAAATAAAAGACACAGGAGGATGGCGAGATGACATGAAGTTTCTGTTTCATCTGACGAGAACCTACTATGACCAAAATAAAATATTTCCTAATGTAAGATTTCAAAAAATCCCTAATATATTATAATCCCTAATATGTAATATCTTGAACTCCACCGAGCATAAATGCTCGGTGGAGTTCAAGAGCTATTTTAGCGTTGTTAGCCTACATTCTTATGCCAAAAACAAGAAACAAACTTGAATCTGTATGTACCTTTATTTCTTACAAGTGGGCAGACTTTTGGTTTGACGACCAAACCTATAAAGAAAACACTTATTCAGACCTTCATGAAGTTTTATTAAACAAAAAGAAACCTCTTGCTACATTTACAAGTCATTGGAATCCAGAACCATCAGCAATCAACATTCCCAGAAGTAATCAATGTGCTGAAAGAGCAATTAAAGTAATGGAGGAGCTTTATAGATTGTGCAGAAATAAAGACATTCTTCCACTTTGTTTCATTTTGTCTAATAAACAATATCTGTATGTATTTAAATTGTATAAAATGTTTTTTCCTGCATTGAATATAACACTATGCCATGTATTAATTGTTAGAATAAATTATGTTTTTTTATAGAATCATATGAATGAACATGTTTGCAAATAGAAATGATTTTGGTCATTAATTTTTTTAAAACCTTTTTAAATCTTAATGTGCTTTGGGGCGTGACATTTTTTTTGAACATCGTGAAAGTATTAATATTTTCGCATTTTATGCGTAAAAACTCATCCATTTTTGGGCCAGGGAAATTTTTTTTAAAAAAGTCATATCCCTAATATATATATATATATATATATATATATATATATATATATATATATATATATATATATATATATATATATATATATATATATATATAAACAACAAATTCTCTTACGTTTAGCACTAGAGTAAAGTTCGTTAAAAAACTTGAGAGTTTGCAGTTTTACAGATGAATAAGCAGTAGATTCTAAAAAAAATTAAAACATTTGGACACATCATTAAATGCCATCATTCTTCATCAAGTATATAGTAATAGTAAATAATTATATCACTTGCAGGGGTGCCGCCAGTATCTTTTGGTCTTTGAGATAGCTAACTTCCCGACATGGAGCAAACTGCAAAAATTTATATTGTTATACTTATGTCAAATAAAGATGCTTTAAAAAAAATTGTGATGATTGGAGCTTGGGAACAAAAAAACTCCAAAATTTTGTCCCCCCTGCCCCAAATGTGAGAGCAACAAGTTGATGCAAAATTTTGGGGCTTTTTTGTTCCCAAGTTCCAATCATCGCAATTTTTTGCAAAGCATTCTTATTTGACGTAAGTATAAACATATAAATATTTGGAGTTTGCTCCATGTCTGGAAGTTAGCTATCTCAAAGAGCAAAAAATGCTAGCAGTGTCGCTGATTACTTGTAAAATATTCATCCTATATGCTAAAAGTGTTCGGGATAGCGTTTTTTAAGTATCCGAATACTGGATAATTAAATTAACTAAATTATTAAAAAAACCAGATAATAGAAAAATATTTGGCCGGATAATTTAAAAACATTTTATACTACGAACCGTTGTTTTTTTTTACAAAACTAACTTAATTTAATAATTTACAAACCCGTGTATTTCAATACACAAGTTTGTAAATTATATAAGTCAAATATTATAAAACATCATTTTGGTAAGCAAAATGACAAGTTTTGTTTTGAAGCTTTTTGAAATAAATGATCCCTTTGAATCGATAGCAGTTTGTGGAAAGCTAATAAGCAGGGGATCTAATAATTCTGGTCAAAAATCAAGCTGCTCAAGAAGTTGATGTTATTTAAATCACTTTATTATAGATGCTTTATATTATTGGAAACATGAAATAAAGTTTCAACTGCTAATAGAACTAGCTCTTAATTATAAGCATGACCAGCATCTGTATTTTTGAAGAGATTTTTTCTGAATATAGAAATATTTATGAGAAAAAACAATCAAGGCTGTTACTTCAATAAGACTGTTACCAACGTTGTTGAATGTTGTTTTTGATTTATCACTGTTGAGTGATAAAATATCTACTTTTTGTGCATGTTAATTCTTAATTACTTGAACTATATAATTTAAACAATACTTTATAAAATCCACTAGCATAAGATTATTTCAAAAGATTAAAATTATATATATATATATATATATATATATATATATATATATATATATATATATATATATATATATATATATATATATATATATTTCTTATTATTGATAAACATGAATTAAGCACATACATAACATATATATGCCATAAACAAAAAGGAATTTTTTTTAAATTTAGAAAAAATTTTTGGTCAATAACCACTAAATGCAAATTAATGGTATAATTAGTTATGTTAGTTATTATATTAGTTGCATGAGAACTATTATTACTATAATTATCTAAAAAGGACCAGGCATTTGTCTTTAAAATATTCATTGAAAAATAAATTATTTTTACTTACTCATACATTTAAAAACTTCAGTGACAAATATATTTAAAAATGCTGTCACAATATTTGTTTCATCTTCATTGTACCAATGACATGCTTCACTCCAAATAGTTCTAAATTTGAATGTTATAACTTTTATGATAACAAATTTTGACTTTGTTTTTGAGTCAAAAATTGTGTAAAAAAATACCTTTCAACAAAAGAAGTAGATGCAATAAGTAAAGCTTTCTGTGTTTTCCATGTCAAGTTGTTTAATAGATTTGTAAATAGTGAAGCTGTGTAGTTAAAATGTATTTCTAAATAAAAAACATTTTATTTTACTGTTTGCATATCTTAATAAATAAATTTTATTAAATAAATGCAAATCACTTTGTGACGTTGATTGGTATGGCCACAGTCTTCCTAATGATTCATAACCAGCACAGAGTAATAAATCCTGCTTTTCAACTTGATTGTCTTCATTTTCAAGGAATTTCTATCAAAAAGAAATTGATTTTTTAAAGAAAATTTAATTGGTTTTTTAAATGTGAAAATCTTCCTATGTCTCAAGATAAAAAAAACAAAACTGTTTGAGACTTTGTAACTAAGAACTTGGTAGTAATGAAGTAATATTTTGTGAAGATATATATACTTTTTTTATTATATAACAATTATTAATTTTTTTGAAGATTTTTTAGAAAAAAACAAAGCAAACAAAAAAAAAATTTGAAAAGCTGATTTGCCAAATATTTGTTTTTTTCTTTAAAACAACAACAAATATTTGGCAAGTTAACCCTAGTTTTCCTATGTAAATACTTATTAAACAAAAAATAAATTATTTACTAATGGGGATTTCTATCCTAGGATCCTGAAATCCTGTGCTTTTTTTGTTTTTTCATAACTCCCATTTTTTATAATTTAACTCTTATTTAACTCAAATTCTCTGTTCTGAAGGTTTGAAGATAACAGGTTCAATGCCAGCAGAAAAGTGAAATTCTTGATTTATACATCAATATTGTGACTATAATGACAGAGCAAGTGTTATGAAAAAAGTTGGTTGTTGGTTGCTAATCAACAACTCGTCAGCTTAAAACCAAGAAGCTATATGTCCACATTTTGTATTTTTTCTGTTTATTATCATTAAATGTTCGTCAACTAGTGGAGTGTGTGTCTAAACTAAATTTGGCCTAAAAAAATAATAGAACTTTAGGAAATATTTACATAATCAGTAAGTCTTTCTGGCTAAAAATCTTTTCATAGTAATATCCAAAACTCAATTTTTTCAGTAACAAAAAAATTGGACATACAGCCTCTTGGTTCTCAGCTGACGAACTATATTTTGCCTATGACATACAACTTTATGAGTTGTAGTTGATGTTCTTTATTATAAAAAGAAAATTCACTACAAATCAGCCAGAACGTGAAGAAGAATTTTCTGACAGTGAATGAATCCATGAATGAGGAAATTGAGGAAGATGGGTGGGTGTGTGTTGGAAAGATTTTTTATAACTTTTTTTTTGTAATCTGATTGAATATATTGATGAGAATTAATATACTCTCATCATTTTACATCAATACATTTTCTGGTACCCCAAATTTTCTGGTACCCCAAATTTTCTGGTACTCCAACAAATAAAACTAAATCTTTTTTTTTAAGATAAGTTTACAAAGATAAGTTTACATATACGTAATTTTAAATACAAAACTTATTATAATATGGATAATGCTCACAAAAGTTTTTGTGCTGTAATAAAAGCAAATGCCTTACTTTAAAAGTTAATTCCAAAAACAAGCTGTGTTGAATCATCAATTGTTAAATATATGTATTTTGGGTTCGATTCTAAATTAAATGATGAGTTGAACCATGTATGTGCTATTTGTAAAAGAAGTTTTTACCACCAAGCGCAAAAAAAAAAAAAAAAAAAAAAAAAAAAAAAACTAGGTAAGTTAAGTGGGTAAAAAAACAAAACATTTATATATAGTTTGATTACCAAATGGGTTAATAATTTATAATAATTTATGTCAGTTTCTATTTTAGTTTAGTAGTCTTTCCAAATATATCAAAATATATCAAATAACTTACAAGATTTATATTTATAAAGGTTTTGTTTATTATGCAATTTAGAATGACTGGTCAAAGTGAAAAAAAGAGTAAGTCCAACTCCTGAACCAATCAAAAATATTCCTATTTTAGAAGAAGCATTTTAAATATGCCCTCACTGTTTAGCTTTTGTTGGTATATATAAATTTGAGTTGTTTAAAAAATGTTTAAATAAGAATCAAATTATTTAATAAAATAGTAATAAAATTATGAATTAATTTAATTAAAGACAAGGAATATTTTCATCCTTGCAAAAAAAAAATCTAGTTAATCATAGTAATGGGGACTTTAGGTGTGCAGAAAAAAATGGAAGTTCATATTTTTAATCATAAAATGGAAAAGTAATATATTATAAGTGAACAGAAAATGATGCTTTCAACTGGTGGAATAAACTTACAGTTCATTAACTCTTTGCAGAACCATAGTATTTGTATCCCTTGAAACTATTACAAGTGGCAAATGATCAGAGTGATGATGGAATCAAATTATTTTGTTCCATGCTGAGAGACGTGGGATGTGACCACAATTAAAATAATAAAACAAAACAAACAAGAAAGACTGAAAGAGCTAAAAGAAAATCAATTTTTTTTGCTCTTCAAATTTTGTTTAAGGAATCAAGAGGTTTATCTTACTGATCTAGCTGACTACTGAGTCACTGAGCTTAAAAGTCTTTCCTATTTTATGCTAGTGGCACTTTATAAAATATCATCGATGGATCCATTTGGTAAGCATCGAGTTCTCTGATTGCTTTGGATTAGCTTCTTTAATACTTTAAATCCAGTTTCATTCAAAAGGGTAAGGGTTTATTCTGTTCCATGGTTTTTTTTCTTCTGCAGCTACTATTTCTAATTATAATAATTTTTAAATCTTTTTCACAAGAACAACTCTCTTGAAAACAAACATTTTTTAATGTCTGATGCTTCAATATTCTTGGTGTAATTATTTTTATACTTTATCTCAGAAATTTTTTGAAACTTTTGAAAAATTTCAACAGTGTCATTAACAAAGGTGTAATATCTTTTGGATTGATCGATCTTATTCATCATGGATCTCTCCAAAGGACTAAATCTTGCTTTCCAGCCAGCTGAAAAATTGAATCTCTGGTTACAATTTAAACTATTGTCCAATTAGTCTTCTCTCTACTACTCGCAAGGTCTTTGAGATAGCGACAAGGAAAGGGCTAAATTAAAAATTTGACAGGGAAAATCAAAAGCTAGAGTTATAATTCCAGGATTTTCTACTTTGGGATTTTAGTCAAGTAAACCACCGCCTTCCTAAATCAATCATCAAAATTCAATGATTCCTAATAATAAATTTTATAAACAATTAAAAATAAAACATTTACATCTATTCAAAAATAAAACTTTAATATTTTCACCTGTTCAAAAAGTGTTTTTAGCACTGGTTTAAACTCTTCAAAAACATCAATCTGCCATTCATTTGCAACAGATGTAAAACAGTCCACTGCAGAAAGTTTATAACTTAAATTATCTTTTTCACATTCTTTTATCATTTTGTTTAATATCTAAAAGAACATTTTCTATTATATATCAAGAAAATCTTTTTATTAGATCGATAAAAATTTTTTAACATTACCTCATTTACACTTATTGAGTCAATCATTTCTTTTCTAAAAAAAAAAAAATTTTTTTGACTACTAGGGTGTTCCAAAAACATTTTTTTTTAAATTTCAATGTGCTCTCCACTGATCCCCATTCTATAGGTCCTAAATATTTACCAAAATCTTTATTTTTTATTTTTTAATGACTAGAAGTGATAGATGTAAATTCTGAGTTTTACGGTATTGTACACATGTGTATTTACATAAAAACAGCGCTATCTAGTATTTCAATAGGTTTTAATATGATGTAACAATTGGTACACAAATAATTCCCATAGTACATTATTAAAGAACAGGATCATTCCCTATGAACATTGTTAGCGATTGATATAATTCCCGAAGAAACATGCATGTGCACGAAGAAATTCTTGTGTAAACGGTTATAAAAGCCTTAACGGTAAACTTGGATAAATTATGATACAAGAGGGAATAATGACTTCATAGATTTTTAATGCAAGTGTAAAATTTAGTATAAACTTAGTTAAAAAACTGATTATTTCAAAATTTATATAAAAATGGGTAGAACAGCTAAAAAAAAGATAGTAGGACAGAACAAGAAAAAACGGGAAAAAATACAGAAAGGTTGAGGTATATTTACCTATTGAAGTACCCACTGAAGGATTTACCTCAGAGACCTCATTAGTTTCCATCTAATGGTGATAATCTAAGATACTATCAATTTATCCTTCATGAATCACAAGTAAAATACAAACCCACTTCTACTTATGTTGGTTGCAAATTGAAATCGAAATCCAAAGATCTTGTTTGTAAAAATGGCGTTTGTACAGATTCTGATAACTCATGCTTGGTAACTAGGATTAAAAAAATTTGGGATAATGCTGGGTTTGGCAAAAAATTTGTGATTTCTGGGTACAATATGAAGACCAAAATCAATAAACTAATTCTAAAATACAAGAAATTGATTAAAATATCTTCTCTAAACTGGAACAGCAGCCTTGATAAGCAATCAAAGTTAGAGAAAGATTTTCTCGCAGAATCCTATCAGCTTTTTGACATCTCTACTAAGAATTTTAAAAAAGATATTCTTGCTGATAGATTGAGAACAGATGATGCCAAGCTGGAAGATATAAAGTAAGTTCATTAAATAAAACTTTTTTAGTAGTGAGATTTTTTTTCTGATTTAAAATAACTTAATTAATATCATATTATTTCCTTTAAAATATTTACGTTTAACTCCCATGGTTTGGCCATCTTCCAGGAAAAACTAGAACAATTATTAATTTATTTATAAGTCTCAATAGAAATAACTATTTCTTAGTTTTTATGAAGACCAAAAGTTGGATAGGAAAGGATATATGGGAACAAACGTTGACAAAGACTACAGTAGGAAAGTACTGGATGCAAACAGGAGAAAGAACAAGCTAGATAAGTTGAGAAAAAAAGAATTAGAGAGACAGAAAAACGTAAAAGATATCAATGATGTTTTGTTGTCACATGACTCCATGACAAAAGAGATTCAATTCAGCAGTGAAGATAAAAAGCCAAACGACAACTCTGAAATTAGCGAGGAAGAAGATTTCCTGGGTAATGGTCGGAAACGCAGGTATAGTATTATTTTAATAACATTGTTATAATTTCCACAAGCTAAAACTGTTTTATTGAAAAGTATATAATTATAAATAGGTAGAAAAGTATTATAAAATGATATCTAGGTACAATTCTGGAGAGAGGATAAATCTAGCAGTGAATGTTGAAAAGCTCATTGAATTTACTGCTATTCCAGCAACAAGGTTCAATGTTGGTGTACGACCTCATCTGGCAATTTTAAGTGAGGTATTTAAAGCTGGAGGTATAGAAATTAATGATATCCCGCATTCATGAAGCACACTTCATAGAAAAAAGTTCAAATATGTAGAACTTAAAGGAGACTTGGAATGGAGTTCAATAACTAATCCTATTAAAGGCCGATGGCTTATTCTTCATTTTGATACCAAACTGTTGGAACAAATTACCACTGGGCTTAACATCATTCAAAAAATTGAGCAACTTGCAGTCTCAGTGAGTTCTGTTACGATACCATGGAAGAGCATCTTTTAGGTGTTGTTCAATGTCCCTCTTCAAAGAGAGTTGACCAAGCAGAACAAGTGCACAATCTTTTAGAATATTACAGATGTAAAGAGCAGATCATTACTATATGCTGTGATACAATTGCAAGCAATACAGGCGGAGTCAATGCAGCAGTCCAAATTCTTACAGATATTTTGAAAATATCAATTTTGTGGATAATGTGTAGGAGACACATATATGAAGTACATGTATCTCACTATATGGCTGCTCTTACTGGTGAGAAAACTAAAGGTCCAAGAAAAGCTCTTTATGTCAAGCTAAAGAACAAGTGGCTTGAAATTTGTGAGAAAGTTAATATAGTGAAAAATTTATGTAAATTAAACTGGCAAAAAGATGATCTGAAGATTGGCTCTGTTCTTTTCACTGTTGCAGAGGAAGCTAAGAAATTTTTGACTAATGTAACTACTGATATGGTGTTTTCAAGGAATGATTATGGTAAAGTTTGTAAGCTTGCCTCCTTCTTCCTTGGAGCGGAAGTACAAGATTTTAAGTTGCCTGCCATGAGGCAAGGTTTTTAGCAGATGCAATCTACTTCCTGACGCTTTATATAACCAAAGATATCAGTAATATCTTGACAGAAAAAGAAGTGCTGCAATTGAAGGATGCAAGTTTGTTGATTGCAATTTGCTATGTTCCATGGTTTTGAAAGCTATCCAAACAGCCTATGGATTGAGAAAAGTCAATAAAAATATTGGAAATGCTTTGCTTCTCAGCATGGGACGCCATACTTGGTACTTAACTCCGCAACTCTGTGTTTTGTATTTTGGGGATAAAGAAGTTCCTCCTGAAACAAAGCTAAGAATGCTGTTAGCTCTGATTGAGTTTGGAGAGCCAAATGAATTTCAGCGTTGTAAACCATTGGAGAGACCACAGAGCTACCTGAGTTGATTTCCAAGCAAGGCTACCTTCTCTTCAAACATTTTAAAATATCAAGAGCAAGTATAAAAGAATGGCTCAATAATAGTCTTAATACTATAGATGTTTTTAACCATCCTCAGTTGTTAGATTTTATTGCATGGATCAAAAACAGAAAGAAACATTAAGCTCATTAAAGATTTTATTTCAGTTACTAGAGATGAAGATCACCTTCAAAATGTACTTTTTGTTGTTAAAAAGTCTAGAAAAAACTTGACTAAGAGTATGACTAAAAAAGAGCTTGGAAACTGTTCAAAAAGTTGTATTTTTTGAGAAATGTTTCATCAATAAAATCTTAATTTTGCTAATAAATATTAGTTTTTGTGTATTTTTTTTTTTTTTTTTTATTTTGGATTTTCGTATTTATAAATCTAAACTATCGAATTAAATAGTAGAAAACAATTGGAAATGATTTATACGCATTTAATTGTTTTGTTTTAATTTTCTAAAATGTAAAAAAATTGTGTTTTCTATTAATGTTAAGTCAGCTTAACATTAAAAACAGTAAAACTCAGATTTTACATCTAGCACTTCCTGTCAAAATAAAACTGTCAAAATAAAATTTTTTTAGTACTTATTTAGGTCACATAGATTGGGAATCAGTAGTGAGTTTTTTTTTTTTTTTTTTTTGGGACATCCTATTGACTACAAACAATTGGATATTAGAAAAAAAGGTAAAAGTTATTTGAAAAAAGATAATTAAATAATAACAAAGAAAACATAATAATAGATTTAAATTAGTGACTGGAGGATCTTTAAATTGTCCTTAAATTAAAATTTATTTGAAAATTAAACCAAGAAAAAATTTACTTATTTTACAAATTAGACGTTCAAACAATCCTGTAGAAACAAAGTTGTCTCAAACAAAATTTTGGATTTAAATAAAGTTGAATTTTATACTTTGATACAATTTTTAACTTTTCAAATTTGTTACACAAACTGTGAAATGTTTTCCAATACAATAATATTAATTTTCAACAATAAAATTTTAAAAAATACAAAATAAACCTGCACTTTATAGTTAGTGTTGATAATGCTTTTAAAATGAATTCCTAAAATTAAAACGTCATATTTTTCAATCTTAATTTAAATTAAGTATTTCTAAAAGAGTTATAAATATTTTTATGAGCTTTAAAAAATTTGAAATACTTTTCCAGGCCATGTTCTTCCGTGTAAACATTGTAAAAGAATGTGAATAAATTTTTTCAAATACAGCTGAGAAAGAAAGCTACCTAAAAGAAAAAATTTAAGTTTAATTAAAAAGTGACAATTTAAAAGCAAATATCAAATTGAGAAAAAATCAAACTTTTAATTAGAGGTGTATATTTGTTGTGTAATTTGTCATACAAATTACACAACAAATATAGTTTTCGCTGTATACAGGGCTTTGGAGCCGAGGTCTAAAATCTGGCTCTGGCTCCAGCTTGATTCATCCTTAAAAATAAATCTAAAATATCAGGTTTGAGTGAAGAACGTAGATCGCTCAATACAAAGTTAAGAGCAGAAAATAGCCTCTCTACAGAAGCTTGTGAGATAGGTATACAAGTGACAAATCTGCATGCTTCTTGTATTCTTTTTGGGTATTCTTCAATTAACTCAAAATCTGAATTCACTTTAGAATGTCCCATTTGTTTCATTATCCTACAGTTGTCTAAAAAATTTGTATTAAAAGTATTTTTATCAAAAAAATTAAAAAAAGAAGTGTGATCAAAATTAATTTTGGTCA